AGGGAGTGTAGACTGGTGGTATCTGTTGTAATATTGAAATGACAACAGATAGAACCAGAAAATGATGTGAGGGAGTGTAGATCTGGTGGTATCTGTTGTAATATTGAAATGACAACAGATAGAACCAGACAAAGATGTGAGGGAGTGTAGACTGGTTGTATCTGTTGTAATATTGAAATGACAACAGATGGAACCAGAAAGTGATGTGAGGGAGTGTAGATCTGGTGGTATCTGTTGTAATATTGAAATGACAACAGATAGAACCAGACAATGATGTGAGAGAGTGTAGATCTGGTGGTATCTGTTGTAATATTGAAATGACAACAGATAGAACCAGACAATGATGTGTGAGAGTGTAGATCTGGTGGTATCTGTTGTAATATTGAAATGACAACAGATAGAACCAGACAATGATGTGACAGGGTGTAGATCTGGTGGTATCTGTTGTAATATTGAAATGACAACAGATAGAACCAGAAAATGATGTGAGGGAGTGTAGACTGGTGGTATCTGTTGTAATATTGAAATGACAACAGATAGAACCAGAAAATGATGTGACAGGGTGTAGATCTGGTGGTATCTGTTGTAATATTGAAATGACAACAGATAGAACCAGAAAATGATGTGAGGGAGTGTAGACTGGTGGTATCTGTTGTAATATTGAAATGACAACAGATAGAACCAGAAAATGATGTGAGGGAGTGTAGATCTGGTGGTATCTGTTGTAATATTGAAATTACAACAGATAGAACCAGAACATGATGTGTGAGAGTGTAGTTCTTGTTCACATTGTCTGTGTTGCAATTTAATAAGGGCAGAGATGTATGTATATCTCATGTGTTATATATATGCCTCTGATATGGGTGTTCTTTACTTACTGCATCTCGCTGATGGATGTAAACACATACATATAACATAATTAATTATTGAGTTAAAACAGTTATTATTTTACGTTTATGCTTCTTTCATATTGCTTGAATTAACATGTTATATGGATTTGTTAATAAACAGCTATGAACAGTTGATATTTTCTCTCATTTTTTTGTCATGAGAACTAGTCATTGTCTAAAATGGGGATACGATACCAAAATTATTGCTCGAGTCACATACACACGTACAATGTAGACTACTGTACCGTACTTACAGTGTACTTATTGCAGCCGAAGGATTTCGAGTTTGAATATACCTTTTAAACTACAGGTGGAAATCAGGACTTAATAAAAATGATAAAAGAAATTCCATCCTAATTAAATCATTCAACAAAGTCTTTCGGAATGCAAAGTATTGGAGTTCCGTGACACATGTTATATACCAGCAAAGTATTATGTTGAATGAAATATATTAATAGAAACCGAAAGTACAGAAGTGCGCATGCCGAAAAAAATACACTTCCTGTTCTGGTGATTCCCATCTTCGCAAAACGAAAGTAGGAATCACTAGGACGCTTGAAGAAAATATATAATTAGCGTTATGTGGAAACTACGCTGATTTACTTCAGCCGTAAAATACTGGGAATTCAGCGTGTATTCATTTAAGTGATTGGAACGATTTCGTCACATTTCCTTTTCTTAATAGTATTAAATTAGAAAATATGAGACACTTTTCAATAACTATATTTATTCCTTAGTAATATAACATCGTTTCGTTCATTGTTACACGTCAGGTGTATAATTTACCTTTTTAAATGTAGTTTTACAATGGCTTTTCCAATCGCTGCGACTACCTAAATGCAGTTGTTACACCCTCGCCATGGATGTCAAGCAAACCGAATCGTCTTTATTCATCCAGATTCCTTTCACATGTAAGTAATTTAACATAGAGACATATCTTTAGAAATATTATTAACCGATTTCAAAATCAGAAGTGAAATATTCGATCTTTGAAGTGAAAAAGAAACGGCACCATTGAACGCGACCACAGCACAGAGGCTTGTCAAGATGCGTCATCTGAATTGAGTATTATTATTATTAGTATTCTCTTTATTTCCTCCTTTAAGAAGATTTCACAAAAAGAACAACATTAATTTAGTGAAAGAGAACGCTGAATTGGCATACAAATCAAAATTATTACCAAGATATTATAACATTAGGATTAGTATAGTAATTAAGTTGTTCCAAAATCACATCGGAACATTGAAGTACATCATTTTTGCAATAGTGATTATTATAACATTAGCATAATAATGATTAAATAGTTACAAAATACCAAAGTAACATATAAGATGTATCATAATTACATTACTCATATATATATATATATATATATTGCACTTAATGATAATTCTTTAGATGTAATTTGTATCATATACATTTAGCCATAATATGCTTTAAGCATTTTTGAAATATAATGGACTGAATTAAGGTAAAACTGTGATATTTCTTTTAAATTCAATTCATACATTACTTGTCCACCAATCAAGATATGGAATAGGTCAAAATCTGAGTGATTATGTAAATATACGCTAAACTCATGATCACTGATATTGATCATTTGACACCATAATTGATCTCGGATTTCTTCAGTAAAATTGCACTGTAAGACTATATGAGTATACACATCTTCATACGTTTGGCCACATCTGTGACATAATTCAACTGTGTTTACATTTGAATTGAGTATGTAATGTGCCGACTAGAATCCTTTTGGGGTTCTTCCTTGGAAGTCATCGGTGAGGGACATTATCAAACGTCCGATATAATTGAGTCCAAAGAAAGAAACCCGAATGGTATTATATTCAGGCCAATTTGATACATTTTAGCGTAATTGATTTCCTCTACAGAACCCTCCATTAAAATCACACACCTTTTGTTATGTTCTTTTTATAAATATTAATGATAATTTCAAGTCTAACAAATAATTAATGATTTTATTATGAAGTTCATATTCATCGTGAGAAAAGACAAGACCACTGACATAAATGTATGATGTTATATGCATGTATGTACAGACAGCCAGGGTACTGACCATATTAGAGATTGCTCCTAAACCAGTTGTGTTTACCTTAGTTAAAAAATGCGTGGCCCTATAGTGGTTCTCATGTCCATCTGTCTGTCCACCCGTCCGTCAGCACTTTTGTTCCTTGCGATAACTTGAGTAGGGCTGATCAAGCTTAAACTTCAAACAGTGCTTCCTTATTGAAAGTGCTTACATGGGATTGCTTTTCAGCTTTAAAAGTCAAAGGTCAAGGTCACTGTTACTATAAATAGAAAAATCAGTTTCCTGCGATAACTCAAATTCGCTTTGGATTGCTTTTCAGGTCCCAGGGTTAATGGTCCAAATAACTGTAGCCCTAAATACAGAAATGGTTTCCATGATAAAACTTGGGTTCCCTTTGGCAAATTAAACTCAAACTTCATACAATGCTTTCTTACTGAAAGTGCTAGCTAGGAAGTACTTTTCAGACCCAGAAGACTTCTGTGGCCGAGTGTACATATGAAGTTGCCAGTAATATGTCAGTCTAGGGTGTGTATGTCTAATGTTGGGTTTATGGGGGGTTTTGCAGCCACATAGGGAAGTCCTTGCTGACCTGTCAGTGTTCTAGTTAGTCTAAATCTCATCAACTGCATCTCTAAATAAACTACCTTAATTAATAGCATTTTAGGTGTAAAAATAAATCTACCCAACTTATGTTTTGTATATGCCTTGCTGTGAAATGTTGTACTTGATTTTTTTTTGACTGATGGTCCGTAAGTCTGAATGTAGTAGAATTAGATTAAACTGTAAATTCACAGTTCATTTGTATGAAGATTATGTGATCAATATATTTCCTTGATAGGAAGAAATGAAGAACACTGTGATCAGATGCTAGTTCCTGAAAAGGAGACACCTGGTTGTCTAAAGGAAAGGCCAGTGTTACTAGTACAGGAAAGTGCACAGCTCTGCTACAAAATACATGTAGACAGTTAAAGATGCTCAACCATAGCAGAACCTGCTTCTCTGTCCTGATGGGAAAAATGAGGGAGAAATATATATAACATATGATCATCAAAATTAATTTGTGAGTAGAATTTCTATAGAAACAAGTCACAATTCATGTTTCTGTACTTATATTGATGTGTTTTAATTTTTTTTTATTTTACAGGTACAAAGGATTAATTTGCATACATATAACTTTAAGCCTTTTTGAAGCTTTAGACATTAACTGCAATGAAGTTAACATTGGATGTCTGTAGTAAACACGTATTGTTATATGTAAAACTGGCAAACATGTTTTTTTTATTTAAGAGGATGATAAAAAAAAAAAATTGTTTTATAAATTAGGTTTTGGTTGATTTTTTTGTTTTTGTTTTTGTTTTGTTTTGTTTATGTAATGAATCTGAAAGCCACACAAGGCTATTCAACATTTTGTACAGTTTTCTTTCTCAGTATTTGTCTGCATAGTTGAAATTCAGTTGACAATTCTAAAGTGGCAGCATCAAAATTAAGTATCAGCAGTTTGTTGATTAAAATTTTCATTTCTGTGAAATTAATTGAAGTTTTAAAAGTCAGGTACAATGTACTTTTCACGTCATTTCATATAGTTTTGATTTTTATTAAACTACATATATGTATAATTTTTTTCTAAATGCATGTTCTTATACAGTATTAACATAATTAAAATCCATGTTATGTTAGTTTAGAAATGTGTTTTAACACCATCTTACATAACACTTATTCTTCCCTTTTTTTCCAAGTAATTCAGATCTTTACTTGGGGACTACAAAATAAGCTGTTCCTTAGCTTGAATGAGATTTCCCTTATAAAATGCCATTGTATACAATGTTTGGTGATTAAGAAAAAAACATACATTTTATTGTGATATTAAACATAATGTGATAAATACTACAATATGTACTTAAAATTTGATATTTATATTTGTACTTTGCTTTATCATAAATAAACATTATTATTATCATGTACACCTTAATTGAATTATTTCCCTTTTCCACATGCACCAGTTTTAAGAAACAAGTTTCAATTTGTATGATAATAGTTTCTATGAATTGTCTCCCTTGATTCAGATGCACCTTCTTATTAAGACCAAATATCAGCTACAATTGATATAATCATAATTTGTGTGAATTGTCTCCCTTTTTTCAGGTGCAGGCTGTTCAGAAATCAATGATGGATCCTATTCACAGAAAAGCTCTCCAGAAGACACGGACAAAACTTGTCTGTGACCTTGACCCTGATTCTGAACTTCTAGACATGTTGATGTCAGAAAGCGTATTTACTGCCTTAATGCTTGAGGAAATAAAGGTTAGTCTTAAAAAGGAATCACTTTCAAAATTTGTGTTTATTGTCTGAAAAGAAAGTGATTTGTGAAAGAGTGGCAACTATATTTGGATAAAGCAGATAACATTTTCACACATGAGCAGTGACTGAAACCTCTATAAACTAACTAGCCTAGCTCTAATATAGAATTATCTACATTTTGACCTAAAAAGGTCATATACTCCATAATGAACTTCTAGTTGAATTGAGTTAATATGTTATCTTTCCACTTTTTTCTCCAAATTATTTTATCCTAGTTAAGCCAAAGGAATCCACTGTATATCTGTCTATAAATCTCAATTACATGCTTCTTTATGGATTTAGATGAATGTGAGCCCCTACTGATCATTATTATAATATTTTTGTTAGAGGGAGATGGAGTTATCTTCCCCTTTTTTAACTTTTTTTTTAAATGCACTGATGGAAAAAGATTTTTTTATCTTTTCTCTCCTGAACTTTCTGGATCTATCACTTACCATTTTGGGACCCAAGGTCATTTGTTTTCACCTGTCAAGCACATCAAATCAGTGCTTTATTCAATGTTAGGTGATGAAGACAAAACAATTGCAAATTTAGTTTTTAGATTAAATACAAATTATTTAATTAAATACTTACAATGTAAATCTACATCAGTGGTTATTAAATTGCAATTAATTTGTCATTTGTCTTACAAGCACAAATAAGTTCAGATGCAGTCAAGTCTAATTATCAATAAGAAATTCAGGGAGATTGAACTGTAGAGATCTACAAATGGTACAAGGAAAATTAATATTGCGTGAATCAATATGAAAAAATGTGTAGATGGGATTAAGGCACACTTTCCCAAAAATTCATGAAATTTTATAAATTTTCAATGCTGAGTGATTTTAAAAGATGTATATATTTTAAACCCTTTTAATTGCTTTTAGTTTTAAGTTGAATTTAAATTTTAGAGATGCAGGTTTAGCACAAACCTCATGTTGACATAAGAGTCTACAAGCACAACAAGTGATCCTGGAAGACTTGAATGGAAGAGTTATTTCCCATGTTTACATCCAACAGTTATGGACGATAAGGGCAAAACTCTTCCATTTGTAATCACTAAAGACTTTATCATTTTTTTAACTGGCATTTGAAAATCAAATTAGCAAAGTGTTGACTTATTTTTTCTTAATATTTCAGGCTGAAAAGACAAGAGCACAAAGAGTCCGACATCTTTTAGACAGCATAGTTAGACGTGGCCCAAGAGCCTACCCAATCTTTTTAAAATGCCTGCGAGATTCTTCACACGAGTCCCTTGCAAACACTATGGAGGACATGGAGTATCAGTTAAGAGGGCTTCCTGTCCCTAACAGGTCAGTGGGTAAAGAGGGTCAAGATCAATCAGAAGTCATTTCCAATTATACAACAATCTATACATGCCAGCATGGTCAGATTACAAATCGAGCACAAGGTGAAGGTCAGCCTCAACAACCTTCATTTGCTGAAACCTTTGGACCACTTGTCCATCCAATCCAGCCCTCAGAAGAAAGTAATCCGTGTGCAAGTTTGTTCACACCCTCCAGTGCAAGCATCAGCCAAGGACCAGCCAATCAAATGCCTGGAATACAGGATATGAATGAAGGTCAGGCAGCAGCTGGTCAGAGAAATGATAACTTGATGGAATTGGCAGATGGTGAGGCTGAACAGGCTCAACCTCCAACAGGTAAGTAGTATTAATCGTTTTCAGCGTTTTACTTCATTCCAAACTAGAAAAATTGACAGGTAACAAGTAAAAAAATGATGTTAATAATCGTATTTAGAGTAATGTGCTTGTTGTACTTCATGAAAGAATGAATTTCATTGGTTTTAAAAGGTGGGGTCAAAGTCAGGATCACTTTGGATCAGATTATGAAAATTGACATGAGAAAGTGTAAAGTGATCTCTTTTGAAAACTTTAATTAGGTGAAAACAAATACTCTTGGCGACCTACATTTAAGTTAGCATGCATGGGTCGACACATATTGGAAGACATATATTTATCTGCTTTGGTGTAATGTGTTCTGAATTCTCATATCATAACAGGGTGGATTTCAACCAAATTTGGTCTGATGCATCATTGGGTGAGGGTCATGATTTGTTAAATTCAGAATTTTGATTTGACCCCTAGGGAGTCAATGAACAGATAATTTAATTCAGAAGTTTGATTTGCCCTTAGAGCCTTGGGAGCAGGGCCTTATATAGGAAAATTAGTCATCAATTTTGCTTCAAAGTGCTACTCTTCCTCAAGGCATGAATGGATTAAACCAACTGTCAAAATGTCATTGAGAGTGGAGAATCATTTCTTAAACTCAGAAAGTTGACTCAACCCCTAGGGACTTAGAGATGGGGTATTTTGCTCCAAAACGCGACTCTTTCTTAATGCCTGGGTAGATTTCGACCAAATTTAACCTGAAACATTATTAGGAAGTGGCAATGATATCAAACATGCATGAAGTGAACCTGAGATTGTGCTGACCAAATCTTATTTTTTCACTTTGGTAAAAAAATCTGACATAACTCATCTAGAGCAAATAGTCTGAACTACTTCTCAAAATTCATTCACACCAATTGAAAAAAATATTTGGAGTTTGATTTTTTAAGAAAAAGAAAGAAATTTTTTGTTGTCATTTTTCAGCCTGATCAAAACTTCAACATGTATCATGGTAACTATAGTACCCATTTTGTAACATTATTACGCAAATGTTTTCACCATTGATATTTTTATAGTAAGCAATCTTCATTTGCTTTAATTGGCCATTTTAATTAGACCAAATGAAATATGAAATAAGAAAGTCAGAAAAACTTTTTTTTTTATATTTTTTGTTATTACTAAGTGTATATACCATACTTTGTGTAGCAAATGAATCTTCATCTCGATACTTAACTTCCCTAAATTTGTCAAAAAAATTTCAGGTTAATTAGCCCAAAATCTAGGGTCAGTGAGGTTACCAGAAACTCAAGAGTTCTTTTAAAACCTTACAAACCTCTAAGATGTATTATGCAACGTAGTTTGAGTTTATTTCTAAACATTTTCTTCAGTTTGGTAATGACAGTTGAACAAAAATTCTTATAACACAACCAGTAGAGGATTGAGGTTTATTTCAAGGCTGTGGTTTTATTTTTCTAGAACCAGCTCCAACATTGACTGCATATCAGAGTGTTCCAGAGGAGAGGGTATGTTGAAAATTAAGTAAAATTCTGATTTAACATAAAAAATCTGTATATAAAACATGAATATTTATTTATAAATAATGTTCCATTTTGACAAAAGATATATATAAGAAATGTTATCTTTGAGGAATTTTTTCAGTTATTTTCATGGATAGGAAAAAAAAATATGGTTTCAATGAAAATAAAATTTATAGAACAACCATAGCCAATTTGATTATTTTTTTTGAGAAATACATAGCCATACTGATCAATAATCAGACAGGAATAGGTCTTTGTGATTAATTAATGTTTATATTAAAATGTTTGACGTAAACATCCATTGATACATTATGTGCATACTAATTAATTACTAAATGATCAGGTGATTTAATTATTGAAATATTTTTAACATCAGTTTCTAAATACTGGCAAGCAATAAAATCAGATAATCAGTGTGATTTTTGCCACAGTTTTAATTTATGTGTTAATTTGGAATGTTTTCTTTATAGTTGGGATGCTATTTTCTTTATTTTTCCTCACTTTTCGAAAATTGAACATGTTTTGGAAAAAGGAAACAACCTGCTTTTAGCAGTAAAATAGCAGAAATCCTCAATCAATCTAGCAGATAATTGTGATGATTTAGCAGGTAATTTTAATGCTTTAGCAGGTGATTGCTATGGTTTATCAGTTAATTGTAATGATATAGCAGATAATTGTAATACTTTAGCAGATAATTGTGATGATTTAGCAGGTGATTATGATGAATTAGCAGGTGGTTATTAGGCTTTAGCAGATAATTGTGATGATTTAGCAGGTAATTTTAATGCTTTAGCAGGTGATTGCTATGGTTTATCAGTTAATTGTAATGATATAGCAGATAATTGTAATACTTTAGCAGATAATTGTAATGATTTAGCAGGTGATTATTATGAATTAGCAGGTTATTGTAATGATTTAATATGAAGTTGTAATATTTAACAGATAATTATAAATACTATTTATTTAGCATTTTTTTTTTTTTTTGTAATTATTTAGAGATACAAGATGGAATCAACCCCCAGGGGCCTGTGCTTCATCATAAACAACAAGAACTACATAAATATGCGTAATCGTGCTGGGACAGACATTAACCGAGATCAACTGCAAGACCTATTTTTACATCTCGGGTTTTGGGTTGACATCCAAAACAATCTGCCCGGGATGGTGGGTACCTTGAATAGGGTCTAGTTTCCTCTTGTTGTCATTGCAAACAAGTTTTGATAAATAAGCAAGATATAAGTTCCTTATTTTGTCATTGAATTGTTTGAATATTTATCTTTTAACAATTTGTTTGATAAAGATTTCTTACCTAACTGTATTATCAAATGAACAAATACATATCAGTGCTCCAAGAAAGCTGTGTTTTCGCCATTCTGCTTTTCACTTTTCACGTCAATGTTTAATAACATGCATGTGAGATCTGCACTTCACCCAACACCCTTTCTTTCTTTATAAATATTGGTTTTCAGCTCCGAGGGGCTTGAAGGGCAGGGCCCACAAGGCAAAAAAAGTTCTTTAAATTCCTACTCCGCATTTGGAAATGAATTGATATTGCTCAAATTTGGTCTGAATTAGTAGGAGATTAATTTTTTTCAATTTTGATAAAAGCCTTTATAAAGGTGAGTTTGCATTAATGAAGATCAATTTTGTATAAGAAAGAGAGATGGAAGGCAGCACCAAATAGAGGGAGTAGTTGTTAATTTTAAAAAATCCCTCATCTTTTGAGAAATTCTCAACATTGCAAAAACTAAAAAAAAATTGTTGAGAATGTGGCTTATTATTAATTCTATATGCCTAACAACATCAAAAAGGGTTTGCATTCCAAGTTTTTTCTTTATTCCTTGACTTTAAGTTTATAATTCGACACTCTGTATATGTATATTTCTTACTCCGTTGAGCACAACACTTGAAGACCAAGATTGAATCAAATTACCTGAATTAGTCCTGAAATAGGCCTGAAGACAAAAGCAAGACGTTTTACAAAGTCAGGGATGGGTTTATCACAGGACAATGAAAATGTATTGATTTGTATTCGTTTTAACCTTGATATGATCATACGGTGGGCTTATTACCAAACATAGGCATATTGTTGGATATATAAAGTATGCTTTATTTTTATGTGAAAGTGAGAATTTTTATTTTACAAGGGTGGAACGATCTGAACTGTTTGTTTCAGGAAATGAAAAGACAGCTAGTCAACTTGAGCAAATATGAAGGTTTAAGGCCTGTCGACTCCCTTGTGATATGTGTTTTGTGCCATGGTGACAATGATAATGTGTACGGAACAGATGGAGTTGCGGTAAACCTTATAGAAGACGTCTTCAAGATATTTGGTCCTCAATCGTGTCCAGCTCTCATTGGAAAACCCAAATTATTTGTATTGAATTCCTGTAGAGGGGGTAAGTGTACAGTAGAGTTACCAGGCTTGATGATGTTTAAAGTACACAGGTTATAAAGTTGGGAGCTCTCTCTCAAATATAAGATAAAAACTGTTAAAAAGTTGTTTAAATGCTTAAAAATAATGTACAAGTTTTGAAATTTTGTTGCTTTATGTATAGCTCTCTCATCCATAAAATACGTAGACATCTCATGAGATTGAGAGTCTTGACTTTTTCAAAGTGATTCCAACCTGCGATAATTGATTTTTTGATAATTTTTAATAAAAAAATTCACCAAATATGTTCCTGCAAAGCAGATATACCTGTAAGGCTGTGGTTTACCTATCTGACTTTTTTAAGCTGCTTTTATTTTGACATGAACTTTGACCTTTGTATGTTGATCATTTGTAATATTAGATGTTATTTATTAATTATTGTGAAATATATTCTCTTCTTTAAACAATTTAAATTTCCTAAGGTGATAAATGAGTGATGATTGAAAAAAGAAATTTGTAATATGATTTTGTAGCCTGGTCATCAATTAAACTATAACGGATTTAACATAGTACAACGCCATGTTGTTAATTGCACAACTCACAGAGATCTGAACTTCTGACACTGATTTCATTACATTCAGTAACTCAATTCAGATTGCAGGGGGGATGGCTGAGGTGTTTGACTGGTTTTACAGGTGTAGTTATCAAACAAACCTGGACATAATCAAATCCATAGTTAAACGCTTTGATTACAGACTGCTGTTGTACCTTTTGCAATTTCTGTGTGTCATTCTGATGCATACTGTTTGATTTTTAAATGTATCATTTTTATGTTTTATTCATAGTACAATGTATACCTACAAACACATTCTGGCCAGAACCCTGATTAATTTCAGCCTTTCTTGAAATCTTCCTCTCGTCAGAACTGAAGAAAGAAAATATTCTTTCTTTTGTAATGGATTCTTATCTGTAGATTTATGGTTATCAATTCAATACCCAAGGAAGCTAAAATAAATTATTAAGAAACAATACAACGCTTTCATATGAGATCTAAGTTATTTAGAAAAGGTTTGGTGCTAGTCTTCATCAAGATTTTTTAGATAACATGATGAAGAATGAAAACTTGACTAACATTGTCTTGTAAAACTTTTTTATACAGAGGCTAGGGACGTAGGAAACCATTTTGACACTTTTGGTAACAATATTGCTGAATGCAGTCAAGAAACCGATGTTACCCATCACCTTCCGCGAAATGTCCCAGACGTTCGACCAACAATGCAGCTGACATTACCGGAAACAAACCCATCGTACAAAGATCTCTACATTGCTTACTCAACTTTTCAAGGTTTTATTATGTTTAATTTACTTACTGTTTACCTGTGTTGTGCATATGAGGCCAATTACAAAAAGCAAAACAAAAGGTTTTACTGAAAGTACACTGTAGGTTAGACATATCTTATTGCTGGAAAACCAATCATTTTTGGCCGGGTTGCACAAAGTGCATAGTACATAGGGCGGGGAAAAGGGGTACCAGTTTTGTAGAATCAACTCCTCCTAGAGTTTTTAACTAGAAGCTTGAAACGTTGTAGGATGTATATATATATGTTGAAGATGTGCACCTCCTTTTATGGATTCATTCCGAACATTGTTCTGGATTTTCTGGGCTTTGGAACTTAGTCATTTTCCGCAGTTTGGCAGGGAAAAGGGGTACCAGTTTGTAGAATCAACTCCTCCTAGAGTTTTTGACATAGAAGCTAGAAACTTTGTAGGATGTTTATATATAAGTTGAAGATGTGCACCTCCTATTATGGATTCATTCCAGACGTTTTTCCTTGATACTCAACAAATAAAACACCCTTAACTGTCTTATAAATACCATATAACATTGCACTCATCCTGTAACCCGGCCAATTGTGGCTTTACCCCATTTTATTTATAGGCATTGATACTGTTAAGTTTATTGCCCTATGAACAGCGAAGGTCATTTTGGGTTCTCCTTTTAGTAACTGGTTGTTACCTCATTGAACAACATACAGGAGGGCGACTGCATAAATACAATGCAAGGCAATAACGGTTAAGTGTCTAACCCAAGGAATTAACCACTTCAACAAAGACTGCTCCAATTCTCAGTTTCCTGAGAAACACAGACCAGCATTGGTCAAGAGCATCAAACTGTGCACCACAAATCTCTGTTTGAGTCTACGAAGGTCCATACTCTGACTTAATGAGCTATCACGGCATCATCAAAGTGTATTTGACATTGATTGAATTATTGCTATTTACATATATATACTTTCAGGGTGTATGTGTTTTTGTGCTATGTCTTTATTTTACAGAAAATATACAAATATCACTTTAACTTATATATTTCCTGAGTTTCTTAATGTGGTGATGACTGTAAAATCATTTCCCTTGGAAGATATCAAATTATGGTTTTAGTGCACCTACGAACCAGATTTTGACCTTTCCTTCGGTCACTTCGGATTTTCCTCATTCGCCTCCAAGGCTTTAAAATGTATGCCTTTAGCATCACTGTCGAGTCATAGAAGGACAAAATTGGTATATGAAACCATGTTATTCATTGTTTCGTTCTGCTGTATCTAACTCTAAAGTTGTATAGAAAGGTGTTACTCACTGTGTGTCTTTGTACAATATTTGCATATTACATTTGTGTAATAAAGCTTATTGTGACATCAGGATTTGATAAAGAAATGATGTCACACACAGACAGCATAGTGAACTAACAATGCTGCTTTCCATGTTATTTCATTGATCATGTGATAAAAAAGATCTAAAATTAGATTCTATTTGATATGCAATTTCTGAAACTCATCCGAAATTTGTTCATTTGTCTAATTAAAAATCGTAGACAAAACAAACCAAGTAAGGTCACGGTTATTCATGTGGTTTTATTAATAACCATGCTTTCTTTATTTTTTCAGGTTTTGTTTCCTACAGGGACAATGACACAGGAAGTTGGTTTATTGAGAAACTGGTAGAGGTTTTCAAAGAGGAAGCATCAATTCACGAAATTGATATTATGATGAGAGAGGTAATGAAATACATTTTACCTGGTGCGAAGGACATATAGATCTGATGCCAATATTGTATCGCAATGGTACAAAGTCTGTCGCCTGTCCAAAGTCTGTCCGATAGTCATCAATGTTTCCAGTTTAACAATTTCCTATCTTTAACAAAAAGACCTGTTGATATTTGAATTGAAGGTTGCTTTGATGATTCCCAACACAAAGAAATGGTCTTGACCTATTTTGAAGGTCACAGGGATCAATTTGTCAAAATTCATAAACAACTTCCTCTTCCAAACCAAAACGCAGGAAAGGTAAATCCTGACAAAGAAATGACCTTGACTCATTTGATTTCACATGGGTCAAATCTATCTAAACTATCAAATGACTTTTTATGAACTAAAATGCAAAGAATCACATTATTTGGTTGGTCAAACTCGACCCATATTTAAGGTCACAAGGTTCAAACTTGTTGAAACTTTCAAATGACATCTGAAGCTGAACTGAAATATATAGAATCACAGTTTTTGGCTGATAATTTTCAGGAATTATTCCCAACAATGTTTGTGAAAAGAAATGGCCTTGACCCATATTAAATTTACCTTGGGTCAGATTTATTAGAATTTTCAACCCACTTCTCAGTTACCAGGACTTTGATTGTCAATGATATGAAATGTTAAAATGAAATGTTAAATGAAATGTATAGTTTATATGAAAAACATTGAATATCAGGTGAGTGAAACGGGCTCATTGGGCCTTTTGTTATGTTATATGTTCATGATGTCCATTTATCCTGTTGAAGCCTATTGAAATGAACCCCACCTATTTTCAGGATAGCTATTCAAACTTGTCATAGAGCTCAATCTATTTTGATAATTGGAATAGGACCCAATATATAAAATATCCCACATGGCTTGGTTCAATTTGATTATATACTGTACTTTCCAAAATGAGGAAAAGAATTTAATTTTCTGTATTGAAATTAATAATGTCCTGTTGTTTTGTCAGGTTAACCGACGTGTAGCTAGTGAATATGATACCAGCTCTCTAGAAGTGCAGATGCCAGCACCTTCAAATACACTGACTAGACAGTGGTACTTCAACCCAGCGTAGCGTTTTTTAAACACTACAAAGACGTTATAGTGTACAAGGTGTTGTCATGCGAGATAAAACAGGATTATCCAAACATAATGTAATGCTCTGACCAAAAGGAACGATTGTTCAACCCTGTAAGTCTCCAAACTGACCATGATTATTCAGCCCTGTGAAACAAAGAATGTACACGGTTATTTATTTGTGTTAAACTCTGATTGAAGACATCGTTTTCTTCAACTCTGACCAGCACATAATGAATTTTCAATTTTATTTATTATTTAACAATATTTGTGAAACAGGTTATCCTAACTTTTATCAATCACTCTTGTTGGCCGGAGTGAGGCAACTGTTGGAGTAAGTGATATCACTGTGGGAGGAACTTTGAGATGATTGCTGTTTCCGTCATTTCAAACTACGATTAAACCATGCAGTAGTTGTCTAATCATGTGAAACTTTGACAAGGGAGAGAACTATTTTGAACTTTGCTTATAGGAAGTGATTGTTCAGTACTGAAACTCCACTTGGGAGAAAATTTTCTTCAAACCTTGTAAAACTTCTTACCAAAAGATATTGACTGTTCAAATCTTTGAACCTCCGTCAAGGAACAAATATTCTTGTGAAATTCAGACCAGGAGGTTTTTCAACTTTGTAGGACAAAGATTGTTCGACCCTCTCAACCTGGTGGAACTTAAACGACCAGGAAAGGTTATTCTAGTGCTATTTTGTGGTAGATTAACACAGACAACATTACTTGAACATTGTGTGTCCAATATGACTGATCAATATTGCTCTGACTGGCTTTTGGTCTGTGACGTCATTATGCAATGTCATTATGTATTTGTGACATCGTGATTGTAAAGGTAACTTAGTGCACTGACAAGAATTTTACCATGAATTTAAAATGACAAAACAAAATGGCTGCTTCTGATTAATTTTGCTCATCAGATTTTTACTTTGAAACCTTTTTTGATAAAAAAAGTGTCTCAAATTCATTTTCATTTCATATGAGTTTTTGTGAGACTTGCCTCAAAGTTTTAATTTTTACATGCCATTTTTAAACAAAAATAGAAAAAATCATGTAAAACTCATTAAATGAAATCTCATATGAAGTGAAAACTCATTTAAAACACGTAATATATTGGTATGTTTTATGTTCTTTTGTTATGAAAGTGATTTTGTTATCGAGTTTCATAACAACATTATAAGTGATTGAAACCAGGCCCACTGTATCTAACAATGATACAACAAATTGTGTATATTTGTCACGTTGATTGAACTACTGGTTTGATACTTTACTCATGATATTGTGGTAGATTTTAAGTGACAGTATCAAGCATAAATAAACTGTAAAGCAAATGAATTTGCAAACTCTGCAATGGATATGATTCTGGTATTGTTTGACATATATATTGTAGTCATATATTCCATGTCAATCTAGATAAATGTACAGATTTACATCTGTGAATAAGTGATGTGTCCTGGAGAAAATTAAAACAATTTTTTGTTGTGTTTTTTATTTAATTTTATCATTTTCTTTTTCGATTGATGTAAAATTTCAGTATTTTTAGGTCGCCTGAGCTATTGCCATCATGATCTGTCGTCATGTGTCGTTAACTTTTCACATATTCGACTTCTTCTCAAGAACCACTGAATGGATTTTGACCAAACTTGGCACAAAGCATCCCCATGGGAAGCCGCTTCAAGTTTGCGAAGAAAAAGGGTGTGGCCCCAATAGGGGCCCCAGGAGGGGGAAAAGGGGGGGGGGGTAAAATTAGGTAAATCTTTAAAAATCTTCTTCTCATGAACCAACAGTCAGATTAAATTCATATTTGATATTTAGGGTCCTTATGGCAAGGTCTACAAAGTTTGCGAATGAAAAAAAAATTGGGTCAAAAACGGCCTCACTAGCTCAAAAGGGTAAAAAATTCAGCTTTGACCGATTTCAACCAAATTTGGTAGAAAGCATCCCTTAGTGAAGGACATATGAAATTATGTTAAAAAAGTGATTATGTCCCCTTTGGGGCCCATAAGGGGTGTAAAAGGGGCCATATGTAAAAACCATCTTTAAATGACTTCATCTCAAGAACCATTGGATGGATTTTGACCAAACTTGGCACACAGCATCCCCATGAGAAGCTGCTTCAAGTTTGCGAAGAAAAAGGGTGTGGCCCCAATAGGGGTCCCAGGAGGGGGAAAAAAGGGAAACTTGATACGAATGTTCTACACAAGGTCCTGGCAAGTGTTTTAACTTTTTGGGGCGATTCAAAATTCAAGATGGCCACCCTGGCCTCTGTTTGGCTAAGACATTATGGACTTCCTCTCAAGAACCATTGGGGGGGGGGGGGTCATGTTCAAACTTGGTACAGATGTTTTACACGTGGTCCTGCACAAGTGTTGTTACATTTTTGCAACATTTTAAAATCCCCAGATTATTGACGTATATTCATCAGGTGACCGTTAAGGCCCCTTGGGCCTCTTGTTCATGGAACTCATTTAAAAATATTACCATTTTTTCCTTATTGTAAAGTTCTTGATATAGTGCTATCAAATTTTAAGATACCTTTAAAATATCTACATATGCAGTACTGTGAACATACTTATTTTGGCTCAATGAAAAAAAGGGCAATATCAATTTTGGAATATTGGGGTCATCATGAATTCTTTCAGTCACAAATATTTCTATAGTAACAACACTCAAAAACTACAATTAGCTAATAATCTATTTTAGTGCAATACTTTAATGTGAGCAGCGATAAAATAACATTTCCACTGAAATATATACTTTTACAGTATCTTCCATGATTTCACTCCATCCTCAAAAATAGAACACCTCAAAAGTAACAGTATTTACAGTATATCTCCTCTTGTTTCAACTTGTGACTTGCATCATGAAAAAATGTTAAGTGATTTTTTTTTTTTTTTTTTTTTTAATGTTTGAAATATTCATATTATCATCTAGCCTGTTATTTTCATCAATTATTTTCACTGGTGCATTTTTCTCTAATTACCATTAAAATTATCGTAAATATTTTATCCATTGGATAAAATTTCAGGTAAAAATAAAATTCTGTGATTAAAAAAAAAAAAAAAACCAAATACTGCTGTTTTCCGTTTGAGTATGTTTGCTTGGCAGCTAAATATACCACAAGCTGAAACTACTATATATATCATAAGGGAATCCTTGTAATGGTATTCAGAGCAAGCGTCAAGCTGAAACTGCTAAATATAGCATAAGGGAATCCTTGTAATGGTATTCAGAGCAAGCATCAAGCTGAAACTGCTAAATATAGCAAAAGGGGAATATTCTGAGCCGGTGTCAGTCTGAAAACTACGAAAAATTCTAGACTAGAGTAAATCAAACAGTATTCATAACGGAAAACATCACTGCACTGGAGATATACAAACTTGATGTGTCTGAGTGACATACATGCCCTCGCAGGCAAACAGGAAGTTAAGTTTTAGTGTTATTAATACTAATAAGAGATGTATACATAATTCATGAAAAAAATGAAGAAATCTGAAGCGAGACATTGAAATCAACACACTATTCGGTAATTTATTAATCGTTCCCGTTTTTTTTTTTTTTTATTTTTAATTTTTCTTGACATTGGTGTTTGAACATCCATTTTTGAATTACATTGTGATGTTTAACAGGTGTTATCAACAAGGTTCCCATTGCCTTGATCATAAGTACGTCTAGACATGAAGAGATGGCTAATACAAAATACTTTACTCAACCATTGAACATCAGTCTGATTGTATTTCTCGTCAATATGAATGAATTATGAGTGACAAATAAACAGAATGGCTGCATTCATATTAACAATAAATACAATCTGACAGACGTTCAGTAGTTACGTTTCGAATATTATTTTATTTATTTATTTATTTATTTATTCATGTCTATTTTCTAATTAAGAATTGTTTTCCACACTGTATGTTTACATACTCGAAAAAACTTTTTGAAAATCGTAATCAGCTAAATGATTGTTGTAATGTTATAACACGTGTTATCTGAGGCGATGTGTCAAGCGTCCACGTAACGTCGGTAAGAATGACGCCAAATGACGTCACGTTATTGTCTTTGTGAGTTGATGGGAGGCCATAATGCATAATGTAAATGTCATGTAAATATATTGCTTTGACAGCTTTGCAGTGTTTTAAATTGTAGTGGTGATATTTTGGGTTCAACAACAGCACTTGTCGTGAACATTTGCAACAAATCCTGTGTATGCGAGAATTAACTTCTTTCATTCAGACCAATGTATGATATTTGACATGACCTACCATAGGCTTACGGTAAAAATAAAGAAAAAACTGTCCAATCACATCTTTACAATGTATATGTACATGACGTTCTTGTGTTTTCTTATATACTGTAAATCAGCTCACTTTTGCGAATTTCGAGATCAAGAGGAATTCGCGAAAAATAGAATTTTGCTATCCCAAGGAATTCACGAAACCTAATTGTAGTGAGTAAAGACTTGCGTTTAAGGTGTAGTATTAAAACAACAAGAAAATACCAAAATGTCAACATAATCATAATCCATACTGAAGTTGCATACAATTGGGGGGAAATACGAATAGTAGTAAATATTTAAACGGAGGCTCATGAAAAAGTACAACGAGGATAAGGCAAGTTTTTTTTTGTGATGTTCTCAAATGAGAACAAGGTACCCGGTATACAGCAACGGAGCCAACAAGCAAACTAAGAGCATCAAACACGGCCAATTTTAACCCACTGTCACCAGCTGATGGGCTATACAAATCGCCTTCCGTCCGTGATTAGGTTTGTCCTTGGTCCGTCGCCCGTTCGTAAACAGTATTTGTATTAGATGTACATACACTGCATGGATCTTTCTAAAATTTCACAAAAAGGTTTCCTAATGTGTCTAGTTGTGCCCTTTTGATTTTGGGATTGATCAGCCGAAAAGAATGACAGGTGGCCATCTTGAATTTGAATGTTCAATGTTGTTATCGTTGTTTCTGAAGAGGAGTTATCAAAAATAAATAAAAACCAAACTTAATGGTGAGCACCAAGACTCCTTATCTTGTTTCTATATTAGATGTACACAGTGGATCTATAATTTTGTGAACGTTGACTCGTTCCTGAGTAGGATAAAGACGAAATAACACATTCCTAGTCCTATGTTCTCATATAAGTTTATGAGATGAGACAAAAAATTGTCCTTTTTCGGATGTCGACACGCATGGCTGCTCAAGTTATGACAGAGTATTGGTGTTAACCCGGGTTCAACAATAATTTAACATAATTATAGGACTATAACGCACTATTTGATATCGAATACGTTAAAACGATTAAAAAAGAAGTGTCGATTTGAACTCTTGATGAATTCATAGTGATTTGCAAAATGATACCGCTAAGTTTACATGTGTCTGGTCATACGGTTGTATCACCTGCAGGTGTGTGTTTTACGTGAAGTACATCATAAGTGTCTATAATTGTAAATGTGTATGAGAACTTGATAAGATAGCGCTATCAACTTGACCTGTTACGTCACATTTTTGTTCACAGTCATAATCTAGAACGAATTTGTAGACTGTCGCTCTATTTTGTTTACAATTAAAATATTGTGAAAACTACGACACACATTTTCACTCAGTCATAAAAATTCACGTTTATCTTTAAAAAGGTAAAAAAAGCAAGACAAGTTATATGAGAGGTATCTAGAAATTTTAAAAGACTTTGACGGATGTGAAATTTCATTTGATACCATGTGGATGTATATACTCCCATACAACGGCTTGGCTTACTCGCACGGGACTCGTGGTCAAATACGTCGTTCTATGCCATGAGGTTCATCAGCAAATTTTGTCATCGGAAGAAAATATCGATTGTATTGATCCTGTCTGTGATTGGATTATGTAAGTAAATCTATTATCTGATGTAAGTATACTTACTATGTTATCAGGTAGATTAGTTCGGACATTGCTAACTGTGGCTTTCTGTGTGAATTCGGCTTAAAGGAAAGTAAATAAAATGAAAACTGGAAATTAACATGTCGGTCCAAGTGATTTGATCATAGAAGTTAACCAAGTTCTAACCTCTTTTTGGGGTAAGACAGATTAATTTAAATCCAAAATACATCACTTTCTTAATCTGTATTTTGAAGTCACCTGTCCCGTAGGGTCAGGATGACCTATAGCCATTGTGTTTCGTCCGTCATTGTGAAAGAAAATGTCCTGACCAAGTGTTGTTATTTCCAGGTTGATATGAAATTCCAACTGATTGCCATCATCAGAACCACAATTTAAAATTATTAGTATTTAATTTTGCCATTGAGCTGTTGGTCCTGTTAAGGAAAGGCAGTCGATAAAGTGTGTGTTTTTTCATTCTTCTAATTAACATAGAATCAGAGAAGAAGGACACAGCTGTATGTGCTGTATCAAATGCTTAATTTAATTTCTTTCGGACAGTCCTCCGAGTTTTACATCCCATTTTGATAATATTCTAGCAAACACTACGGGTTTTTTTTTAATATTGTTAACATTTCGTGATATCGTCATCTTAAATTGTGTTACCTTGTGTCTGTACCATCATAGGGCTCCAGAAAGAATTACTTTGGGCTTAAGTCAGCTGTCATAGACCCATTTCCTTTCTTTCTTTTCTCTATCGTTTTTCTTCTTCTTCTCTCACTAAATTGGATAAGATTTTTAGTAAGCTATGCTTAGAACTCTGGTTTAATAGCCTCGGTTCCATAGTCCCGGAATTTTGACTTAAGGCGTCATGATATACTTCCTTGTCACTATTAATGTTATATACAAACATCGAAAATAAAACTCTCGAGTCCACGAATTTGTGTTTTATAACACATGTAAATAGATGAAGTTACTTATCATATAAAGAGTGACATTTCTTGGTCTGTAGGGTTAAGTTCAACACGACGTTCGACAGACATTTGGTCGGAAGCGATGGAGGACAAGATGGCAGAGATGACGTACACACTCCAAGGCTATAACGAAACTATCGGTGTCCCTAACGAGCATCAGACGGGCATCACAAAAATAAGTAAGTATAATGTGCATAAATAAATTAGCTTTCTGTAAAAGTTGAAGTATACGCTAGCGAGTAGGATTTTTCTTTATAGCCCAGCTGTATAGTGACAAGACAGAAAGGTTCCTAGTTCGAATCTCAGTCGGGGCAAGCTATTTTTCACTACTCCTTATTACAAATCTAACATTCATTCCTTACGGTCCTACTACGACACCACTGGAGAGTCAATGAAATTACAAACCTATAAGTGCCACTCTTTACTTCTCTGTTTCGTCTTACATACTTAGAAAGCCGTTGGCACGAGGTGCTTGAATTTGAACTTTGATAATTATCATTAAACATACTATAAAACAAAATTTTTAAATTATCAAATGTTGTTTGTGTCTTATAAACAACCTAAAAATTTATGGAATTTTCAAAAATTCCAAAAGGTTCACGTGCAAATCATATATATCAATTTTAAGGTTTTTTTTCAATCAAGACTTAATTGTAGAAATACAAGTAAATATTACGTAATGAATATAAATTCAAACTCGTTATCTTTTATAACGTGATGTAGCTAACACATCTATTTTATTTATTTAGATGATAAATATACTCCAGTTACAAAGATTTTAATTCTGACCTATATGAGAAGCGGATCTTCTTTCGTAGCCGAGTCATTACAACAGGGATATACTAATACCTTCTACAGCTTCGAGCCGTTCTGGGAAATTTACAAAAAAGGATATATAACACCGGATAAGGTTTGCAAAAGAACTAATAGATGTAGGTAAGTAAAAGTAAAAAATGATGGTTTTTATTATATATTTTGATCGTTAGCATAAAGCGTTTTTCCGTCACGGTTTTGGTTGATGATTCAGATGTTGTTTGAATTTTAACTCGATGTATATTGAATATTACTGGACAAAAATATCATTTACGATCTACACAAAATAATTATTACATCATATTATCTGCAATAAACGGTTTAGATAAAACCAGCTAAAGCGAAATGACAAAAAAGTTGAAAACTCTAAAAATAAAGAGAAGCTTTTTCAGTTAAAAAAAAATGTCCCTTTTCCCTATTTCCTTTCCATCAATTTGTTTTTCGTTTGGCGCATTTCCACTTCCAACACTTTTTAAAAGACGAAACTTAACATCGAAGTATGTCACTTAACATACAAGTATGTTAAGTGACAGATCTCGGTCCGTTCGCTTTGTCGCGTTGGCAGGGGCGACAATGTGACAAAATTAACGCGACTATGTGACAAAATTTGTTTCGCCAACGCGACCTTTTTGCCGCCTTGTCGATTTTGCGCGTAGAGTTTTGTTGCATGGTCGAGTCGGCGCACTATCGCGTTGGCACGTGGATTAGTCTCACTGTCGCGCTGCGCACCTGCCAACGCGACAAAGCAAGATGACTGAAATCAACCATTGTTCATATCAACCATTATTTGTAAGAACCACTTTTGTTTAACTTTCTTTTTTATTTTCAGTATGATTTCCAATCCGCTTCAGCAACCGGGAACGGCGATCTCAATTCTGAAAGATATATTTGAATGCAAATTAGACTCGCTGCCTGATGAAGTGCTTCACTCTTTCTCGAAATTTGAACAGCTTGCTGATCATAAAAGACTTGAAAATTGCTTCCCCATACTAAAGAAACATAGAAATGGAAAATTAAAACAGAAAACTATCGAGCGCATGTCCAAAACCAGATCAAAATGCATTTCATATCTTGAAAACAAATGTCGGTCTTCAGCACAACGGATAGTCAAATCTATTCGTATATCGTTCCAACTAGCAAAAGATATCTTTAAAAATATCAAACATTTAAAAGTGATTCATTTAATACGTGACCCAAGAGCAATTTTACAATCCCGGCGAAGTTTGGGTGAAATCAGCTCTGAGGGATTTGTCCCAAATACAAAACAACTGTGTCACCGAATGTCACGTGATATTGACGAAGCTGAAGCCCTGCTGGATTCGTACCCAGATCGGGTTTTTCCTTTACGATACGAATGCCTTGCTGAAAAACCAGAGAGTGTTTTACGTAAAATTTACAGAGATATGTTGTTGCCGTTTAATTCTAAAACAGAAGAATGGATTGAGTCATTCGCGAAAGGAAAGATGAAAGCGACACGAAATAGTACACATAACGTCAATTACACAACAGAAATGTCGCTGATTTCAACGAGCATTCAAAATGAAAAGATGGAAAATCTGCTGACATCACTTGAGGAAATGGAAGCGAGTGAACGCGAGAACATCAAAACAGGATACAATGTTTTCAAAGCTAATTCCTTACACATATCGCGTGGCTGGCGTCATAATATACCATACAGTGACGTCACGCTGATTGATGACTTATGTAGTGATCTATACGGTAGAATGGGCGCACGTGCTTTTAAATCGAAATTAGAGTTAGAAGATTTAAAGCAGAGTGACCGATACAGTACCGCTTATACTGACAGGTATTGTACAAATCTATTGAATTGAACTGAATTGAATTGAATTGAATTTAGTTGCATCATGTATGTATACACACCCAGGTATACACAGAGACACGCTCGTAAAATTATGACTGTGAATAATCTATTTATCATATGTAAATATTCATAAGCGTTTTTATACTAAAAATTATTCAATTTGAAAGATGTCACTTACTTGTTTTTTTACCAACCAATTTATAGTTTTCTTGAAATTAACAACCTGCAGAATTACTTCATAAATTTTCGAGTTATCCCCCTTCCTTTAAACAATGCTTACCCGGACAATGAAAAATACACTATATTAGAACTACCAACCTTAAAAAGTATTCTTTACAAAATGCATTCGCTTCATTCATAAAATTTCTACATAATGCGTAACGAGGTATTTTGACACGATCACGTTTGGTTTACTTCCTTCGCGTACATAATTTCAGTGGCGAGGTTTGAATGTCGACATAAATGGGGCTTTACTTTGTGCCTTCACTTTCAGACATTTGACAGAGTGATGCATAAATTGTACCTCAATCACAACAATTCGACACAATACGATGTTTTACGGCAGTTTTCATTCCGATTTGCACACAGAACAAACGGCATTTACATGTCTTATCTCCAACCGCAAAATTTCGACATTATGGGACTTACATTTCACCTTTTACAGAATTTTGGCAGAATTAAGTTACAAACTGGACCTTTTTGCATTATCTCGACATGATGTAGTTTGATAAATTGCCTTCATTGGCAGAATGTCGACATCTTTTGATTTACAGTTTTTTCATACACCTGTGTACGTTCTTCCTGACTCGGTATTATGCAGTATGTTGTAAATCTCACAGCAGTAATTAACAGTGCATGGATTTTGCATACACAGTCTTAATTTGAAACTAAATTTGAAAGTGTTCTATTTTGTACAATGTATTTTCAATTTCAGAAAAATTAAAAATCACGCATCGATGATGCAAATCGGTGCCGCGACAGCTCAATCGGTTAGAGTGTTTGGCTATGTAACCTCAGGAGAAGACGATGCGCATGGTTCGACATAACGAAGTTGTAGTATATAATATCCATTCACAATCCTTTGACATGTGGAGATTTAAGCCACAGTGCTTCGACACCTCGAGATTTTTTAACTTGATCATAACAGTAATATCAAAACATATATGCATGATGTCGGACAAGCGACAAAACGAAGTTGTATATCAATTCAAGGCCTCGACATAACAAAGCTTTTTGTTCAGATATTTCTTACTTATTTTATCATTCTTTTAAAACAAAAACCGCCTTTCACCTTATATAGCGCAATCGTGCAGCATCTTAAATCAAAGGGCGATAATTCTTCCTGGCTTGTTCATGCTTTACTGCTACCATTCGGACTGATTTCAAATCAAATTTTAACCTCGTTCTATACATTATGAGGAGTCAGATGTCCTTTTAATCTTAGTCTGTAAAAGAACAGAGAATCATTATATTTGCATGACCTTAATGAACCAATGTTACCAAAAAGCAACGTATTTCCTAAGCACACCCATTATTTATTGTCATTTTAAATGAAAAAAAGGGCCCGACAATACCACTAAATGCCGGCTTGGAGTCGGACAGACGGATGTCCGCTCAATCACAACTATAATCCTTCACCTTAATTGTAGCAAGCTAGATCAACGATATTATCATCCGGAACCAAACCATGAAGAAATTTAATCAAATACACATTCATCTTACTTCTGTAATCCAATAAAGCTGACGTATAAATAACCATTCGTTTTGGAGATCAATACTCCCGGATTTCCAGCTCTGCGAACAACACAGCGCTTGTTTGTTGACCGTCAGATCCTGGGGACTAGGATCAAATTCGGAGAACTAATCATTTGTGGCCTATATACCGAGGTCTGTCTATTTTTTTTAACTTTAGGCATCGCGTGTCTAAAATGTAAACATAAAAACGGATATAGGAATACAAATCCGGACTAGTGAGATATGGATTAAAAAGAAAGATGTTTATATCAAGTATATACCGGCTTGATGAATATTGTATTATAAAATTAAGGCCACGATATCGTGGTCGTTAGAACGGTGGCATCTCTATCTCTGGCTGTTTTTGTTTCCTAGGAAGATAAGAGTCGGGCTGGTCAACTGATCTGTGCTGTCTTAAATGTGTACTGGACAAAATACTTTACCCTCATTTCAGTGGATGTCATGCAACGGGCCTTTCGTATGTTGTTCAGTGAGGTTGACTAAAAGCTATGAAAATGAAATTCCGCCTAAAATTATACTACCTTTTCATGGAGCGATAAATATAGCGACCAAACGTGTAAAAATATTAAAGAAAAAAAAGTGAAAAGATCAAATTTATATTGTCACAAAAACACGGGCTACAGATACGACGTGAAGATATAGAGATGTTTATGTACGATAAAACTGGTTAATGGTTTGTTCCGAGTATATATAGTGTTTGTATAACTCAAATTACATGTTACTTAAAAATAGTTCGCCACTCTTCCAGCCCTATGGGATATCGACGTAGTCTTAAGTACTTTCTAGTATTTCTCCAATCTACATTCATATTTTATTTTAATTAACCTGAAAGCTCCCCTTCCCTTTAATGATCTAGCGGTATCCTTCCTTCCTGTCGTAATCCAGTGATTACTTATGTTTAACTCTCGTGCATCCCTTCCACAACTTTTATTGACGTAAATTCCATTAGTTTGTAGCCTAATGATAATATTTACGAGACTTTGCACATGCGTGTTTAGATTTACAGTGGAAGAATTTTAACTTATATTCAGTCATTTTTTTTATTCTTTTATTTGTAGGTTACTAGTTTAAACATGTTTATATTTAAGGAATGGGCTCTATTCCATTGTGCGAAGTAAGTCGGACGCGTTTGTAGTATGCCTGTTGGTTCCGTTTCTGTTTGACTTGTCCTCATTTGGGAACGTGACATGTACTTACTTTGATTGATCAAGATTTACACGACGGGAGTAATTGATTAAGTAGAAGACGTTTACTCTTTCGGAACACCTGGTCTTATTCTCCTCGATGTTACATAGTATTCTCCATGTAAATCTTTGTTTTTACTATTTTGTTCTCTTTGGCCATTAAGCTACATTGTGAATATGTGACTTATCAATTAATATCTTCATAATGCACTCACTCACTACACATATAATGGTATTGATTCATCATCATCATCATCATCATCATCATCATCATCATTGTAAGTCTCGATAAGTTCATGAATGTGCTAATCTTATTTCACGGATTGTAAAACGTTTCTCATTCTTCGTGTTTGCCGTTTGGGCTTATTGAATTTTCCCCTCATGTCAACGTACTAACTGGTATAGTGATGTCTGTTGGTAGTGTAACGTGAGGCTTTTCCGTTGTCTTTTTCACCACCTTCTTTGTTTGGACTGAGTACCGTAAGGAGGAGCGGTACTCTGTTGGTAGTGTTACGTGTTGTTCTCCGTTGTCTTTTTCACCACCTGCTTTGTTTGGACTGAGTACCATAAGGAGGAGCGGTACTCTGTTGGTAGTGTAACGTGTTGTTCTCCGTTGTCTTTTTCACCACCTGCTTTGTTTGGACTGAGTACCATAAGGAGGAGCGGTACTCTGTTGGTAGGGTCACGTGTTGTTCTCCGTTGTCTTTTTCACCACCTGACTTGTTTGGACTGAGTACCATAAGGAGGAGCGGTACTCTGTTGGTAGTTTCACGTGCTGTTCTCCGTGGTCTTTTCCCCACCTTCTTTGTTTAGAACGGATCTCATTACTCAACAGTACTCCAGTTTGGGCCTGACTATGGATCTCTATCACTTTTATGTATTGCGAGTTTATCAGTAGGTTGCATGTCAGGAACCCTGATGATCTGTTTCCCTTTTGCAGCGATACCGTTGATATGTGTGTCCCATTTTAATTCACTTTGTAGTATTTTGTCTAGCTTTTGTTTGATTCTACATGTTTCATTTTGTGGTTGTGGAGTTCGCATGTAAAGTTGAATTTGTGTGTTTGCTGGATGTGGTGATGACGTTACATTTTCCCGAATAGAGGAACACTAATAAATTGTCCTCCTACATACCTGTTGTATCATTAAGATCTTATTTTTTTCTTTTGTAAAGAGTCGGAGGCTGCAGCGTTGGATGTGTTCTGGTAAATTATTTACATAGACGAGGAAGAGAAGGGGCATAAATATATACCTTGAGGACCTCCGGACGTGACCCAAATTGTCTTCTTCAAGTATTACTGTTAGGGCATATTGCGTCTGTTGTCAATTTAAATGTGTTCTGTTATATTTTAGTAATTGAGTCTGTACTCTATGCGTGTGTGTGGATCTTTATCCTATTCTTTGGTCCCTGATTATGATGTCTGTGTTGTTTTTGTGGTAAGTTATGTTGGAACGAGTCTAGCTTGTTTAGCACGATCTAGATCTTCTGAAGTCATGTTGCTTGTCATATAGTCTGGCATTGTTTTAAAGTTGATTCATTTTGGCGCTTGTGATGACATGGGTTTGAATCAGATGCAGGCGGCATATATTTATCTGTATTAGTCTCCATTTCCATATATGGGGTTAAAGCTTGCATTTTTGTTAAAGGTTGTTTACTTTTGTAAAGACACTTTGCTTTAATTGCTCTAGATAAAACGCGACGGGTCTCCCGCATATTGTTCAGCGAGGTAGCCACCAGCTACTTTATGGATTTCTTTCCTAAAAATGACCCTGGATATATATGCCTGGTTAACCTGTTGAACAAACCAATAAGCATCCTATTCTGTGGTAGTGTGTCTGTGCTGAGTGATTTATCAAGTAACTTAGGGAGGATAACTGTTTTGTCTGTCTTTTAATTCTTTGTGTACTTTTCCGTGTATCTATTCTGGGTTTGTTGCCTTGTGTGCGTTGAACTTGTCAAGTATAGTTTTGCAATGCCTTTGTATGTGATGTGTATTTCAGGCATAGTGAGATGTGGTGATGGAGGTTTGTCTGGTATACTGTGATTCTGATATGTTGTGAATACTGCCTGA